GTTTTCTCTTTTTTTTGTTTGCGTTGCATATTTTATTTGCTGCAGTATTTTTGTTTGCGGTGCATTTTTTTATTTGCTGCGTACTTTTTTTTCTTTGCGTTTTTATTTTTTTATTTGATGCAGTATATCTTTTATTTGCTGCAGCATATTTTTTATTTGCCGCAGTATATTTTTTGTTTGCGTTGAGCCTTATGGGCCACCGTATATTTTGGTTTTTTAGCGGACAAACTTTCTGAGCTTGGTTATTTGTTTGAATGATTGACAAATGCGAAAACCTAATTCAAAAATTCTTTATTATACATTTTTGAAAATAATCTGCACAAAAAAAAGAAAACTCCCTCAACTATGACATTGCAAGAGTTGGAGAACACAACACACACGAGGGGCTTTGAAACTAGGCAGTTTGAAAACGACATGATAACCCAATATCTGCTGCATATATTGGGTCATCATGTCAACTTTACACGCTATTGCTTATTGATTGTATGCTCTCGACCATTCAGAGTTTAAGGCATAACAAAGACAGTTACAGGGATCTCAAAGCATCACTCCATGCCTGGTCTTTGGTCTTGATCGCGCGTGCGCGGTGAGGCCTGGGGTCAGGACTGGTAGGATTGTTTAAACCCAACCATCGTGCATTATCACACAGCGCATAAGCACTTGGAGATGTTCATGCGATGCAGTATCCTTCTTTATATTAAACTTTGTGTCCTTTTGGCGATGGTTGATAACAAAACCAACATGCAACACAACACGCATGCATTTCTACCAAGTAGACTGTTCGTCCGGTCATGTACCTCACAATTGAGAATCTTAGCGCCTGACAAGTTATCCTCTTGCTTGAAACGACGTACAGAAAATTACCTAAACGCAATCTCGCCTATGCTGGGGTTTTAGACCCAGCTAACGCAAATAAATGATAGAAGATTATAATTGAGGACGGCTTAGAGCGCGGCGTTCCATGATAACGGCTTAATTAAGTTATTGGCACTAAGACTGAAAATTTTCCAAGGATGTATGGTATATTTACCTAGCTGCTATAGGTAGTCTCAACTAACGAGGCAGACAGTAAAAACTATGATTCAAAATAATTTTGTTTACCGCTTCCTCAACATTCACTTGAGCTTATCTGCAATTTCTAAATTTCTTAGAGGAAAAAAACCTTAGTAGCTCAAGTCCTGGTTTGTTACGACATGTATGAATCTTCGGGTCTGTTTTTACATTGTCCCTGCGATTGCCAATGATTCTTACTGAGATTGGAAATAATATTAAAAATGCTAATTTTAACCACTGTCATCCAGCACGAAAGTCCGGCGTTTCTCCTTTTGGGGATGAATATAATGTGATTGTTAATGACCACACGGCTGGAGTAAGTCGTCACGTTCCAACTATAATAATTCTGGTTGCTCTTCTAACAGTTTATTCGCCTTTATTATGTACTAGTGTCGGAGTGCAAGATTGAAAAGATGCGATAAGATCAAATGATTGAAAATTAAAAATTGCACCGGCGTCAATTACAGGAGAAATATTTGTCAAGGTAATTTCTAACAAAGTCCTGTTGTTTCCGTTGAGGAAAAGCTCTTAATGAACCTATCTCTTGAGTGCACTTAAATATAATTATAACCGAATGGTCAACAAAAGTTGTTTTTAATAAATTTATTTCCTTTAAAATTGGTTCTCAGGTGCCAGAAATGTTAAGTTCATTAAACATACCAGCTAGCCACAGGACTCCACAAAGTAATGAGTTCCTGTTAGCTGTAAGTGTTTCGTAAATAATTATCTTCAAAACAAAGCGACGAAATATAGTCTTTCTGATCGAATAAAGTATTTTTAATGACCTTTTAAAATGAACGCTCCTTGCGAAACAGGTGTTTAAATACTATGAAACATCATACCCGGCCGCAACGACAGTGAGAGGACTCTTCAAAGGCAGTGAAATTGCCTCGGTGGATAAAAAGGTCTTGACGCCAAAAAAATCCCAGACGACATCATCTTTTGTACTTCTGAAGACATTCAACCTAAGGGAAAATAACGAGATTGACAGAAACGAAATAACTCTTAAGCGGCTCACAGAAATGCCTTCTTCGACCATCAGCACAATACTCCATTCTACGGACGACAACAGCACCAGCTTAAACCCCATGACAATTAAAGTATACAACCCTGTACCTGGCGTTAAAATCGCAGCCTATCTTGTCGTCTTAATTTTTGGTCTTCTTGGCAACTCCTTGCTGATTGCAATCGTATACAAGAATGCTAACAAGCGAATGCGGACTCCGAGTAATTACTTTATCGTGAACATGGCCTTTGCCGATATGTTGGTAGTTTCGTATGCAGTTCCACAGAATGTTGTCTTAACTGTTCACAACTTTCGATGGCTTGTTGGAGGAGTAGTTGGTCAGATCCTTTGTCGCTTTTCCTTCTTCGTTAACCAACTTCCAATCTTGGTTTCTACCGGAAGTCTTTTTGTTGTGGCATTGGATCGCTATTTTCTTGTGTTTTATCCGATGAAAAGAATAATCACTCTTCAAATCGCCCGTCGTACAATCATCGCCGTATGGGGTTTCGCCACAGTGTTCACTGCTCCTCTACTTGCCTTGATTGCGTTAGTTGAGAATTCTTCCGGAATTTACTGCACCATTGATTTTACGAAACTACACTTGGTCGTCTCGTATTTGTTATTTTGCTACTCCAGCATAATAGCTATACCACTTGTCATCATAATCGCACTTTACCTTGCCATTGGAATAAAAATCAGTCGGGCTGCACCCCCCGGAAACCAAATACCATCCACTCAGGAAAGGAGGGAGCGGATGACACACAAAGTTTTGGCAATGCTTGTCACTATAGTTGCGGCTCTGATTTTACTTCGTTTGCCTCTGATTATTGGGTTGATAATCTGATTTAGCAATTTACAAAAACATTGCGGCAAATTTGACCTCATGTTTGTAACGTGGTTTTTGACTTTTACTAATAGCTCCATAAATCCCTGGGTCTATTTCATGTTTAACGACAAATTTCGCCATGGAGCAAGGCTTATCTTAAAAAAGCTCTTCCCGTGTTGTTTTAAGACCGTAAATGGAGTGGACGCAAGACAAAACAGTACTCACCAAATGGCTGGCTTGCCAGATGAGCACCATGAAACCGACCATCAGCGTTAGAAAAGGTCACGCAACCTTTGAGTCTCGCGAAGATGCACCACGTGTAACGTCAGTCCCTAAAAACGGTTGCAAATGCATAGTAGAGGAGGGTGTTTAGCTCTTCAATTCCCTGAAGTGATTAGCACGCATCTTCTCCACATAGTATCCATACATTATCTAGTAAAAACTGATGAAAAACTGATGAAACCATGGTTCTCGATAACTGATGACTCCATACAACCCTATACATTTCAATCGGACCAGGGTTATATCTGACGTCCCAGTTGGGAGTTAAGTGAAAAGGGAAACAGCGAAATGAAAGAAAATTCCCCATCATCCCAAACACTGTACGTGATCATCTGTTTGGTATGAACAACATAGCTAACTTGTGCTTCTACCAAATTGTGCACAATACTGGCTGGCTTTTGATGGTGTTTCTCTTTAACCCTCTACGCCCTAAAGTCGGTGTGCTTATTTTCCATATTCTTCTCCTCACATTTCTTAAGTTGCTGATAAAGAGAATTTGTATAGTAATTTCAAGCTTCTTAATTTGGTGATCATTCCCTATATTCTCGTAACCTTTGTGGGTGTCATGAAAGTGACATTGTACGTATGATGCACGATCCTCGCAGTAGATAGCGCTATTTGAGCAATCTACTGCGAGGATCGCTATCTACTGCGAGGATCGTGCATCATACATATGTAATACCGCA